AAATCTTTTCTTCTCTTCAAGGTCATACACATAATACCCTGACAACCCACCACATATCCTATGAACACACATTTGTGTGATCTTGTGTCCAATTTGCTTTTCATAGGTAATGTGTTGGCAGCATACACTAAACACCCAAATGGTTTTAACATTCCATAATCAACCATCTTGCCATAAATCCTCTCAAAAGGTGTGTCCCATCCCAAAGCTGAGCTAGGTAACCTATTTATGATATATGCTGCAGTTAAAACTGCATAACACCAAAAGGATAGTGGCAAACCAGATTGGAATATGAGTCCTCTTGCTATTTCCAAGATTTGCCTATGTCTTCTTTCTACCACTCCATTCTGCTGGGGTGTGTAGGCACAACTCTTCTGATGGAGTATTCCATTCTTGGTCATTAATCTTTGACACTCTTGCCCAACAAACTCTAGCCCATTATCACTCCTTATTGTCTTCACCATCCTTCCAAACTGAGTTTTTACCATCAACAGAAATTTTTCAATGCATCCAACTGTCTCTCCTTTTGTCTTTAACAGGTATATCCACACTCCTCTGCTATAATTATCTACAATTGTCAAGAAGTAAGGAGTGTTAGTGAGAGTTTCCTCTCTGCATGGTCCCCATATATCTGTGTGAATCATTTCAAAGATATCTTGAGTTTGAATCTTACTCAAAGGAAATGGAGACCTGTGCTGCTTAGATTTGAAGCACACCTCACAATTTTTTAATGTAGTCCCCTCATTGCAAAGCCCTTTCAAAAAACTGACATGCTGCAACACTCATAGTGAAGCATGCCCCAGTGATTTATTTCATTCTTCAAGAGAAACACCACAAGCCACTTCTGATTTATCTTGTTGAGCTTCAAGTATGTATAGTTTTCCTTTAAGTATTCCATGTCCCATTGTCCTTCCAGCTGATTCATCCTCAAATAGGCACTTACTGCTAGTAAAGATACATTGCAGCTTTGAAGATGTAGAGAGCTGTGAGACTGATAATAGGTTGTAGTTAAATGAGGGTACAAACAACACATCATACAATATTAACTCCTTTGTCACTCCACTTCTCCTGTCATGAGCACCTTCTTGACACTGCCATCAGGTAGATATATGGTGATTGGCCTTGATAAATTCTTCATGTTTCTCATTAAACCCTTATCAGTATACATATGCTTGCTTGCACCCGTATCAATCACCCAAGCCATCTCTTCAATGTTGTCGTACATAGATAAGGCATAGTGCTGCTCATGTTCATCTCTATTTGTAGCAAAATTCACAAATTGTTCCATTTCACCTTCTGTATGACCTCCTGCATTATCTCCTTTACTTTTTCCAAGAATCATAGCTACCTTTTTGGCCAACATATTGATGTCAGTAATTGGACTACCCCCAGATCTATATATGCTGTGATTTCCCTCCTTCACTTCTGTCATATTAGCCATTCCTCTACCCATTTTATCCTTTAACTCCTTAAACCAATCGGGATAACCATGCAACTTAAAACATGTGGATTTTTCATGTCCCTTCCACCCACAATTCTCACATGTAAGTTTGGCCCTATCCTCTTTGGAAAGCCTTTGTGTTCCTCTTCCTCTACCAAAGTCAAACTGCCCATTAACAGGCTTACCACTGTTCCCTCTTCCAAGTGGTGTGATGCCATAGCCATCCCAGAATTGAAATCATCACCAGAGAGCTGCAATGATCTTTGCCTTTCAGCAGATAACATCAATGAGTAAGCCTTAGTAAGAGGGGGTAATGGATCCATCAATAGAATTTGATTCTTAATATGCTCATAGCTTTCATTCAAGCCCATCAAAAACTGCATAAGTCGATTTTGCTTGTTCTGCTCCTATACTTTCTTACCAATTTCACATTTACATGTCAACTGAGGTACCAAACATCCACATTCATCCCACATCCTATTCAATTTATTGAAGTATATCATAACCGAATCATTTCCTTGTTTTAGGTTAGATATGTCCCCCTGTCATTGATATATTAGTGGCCCATTACTCTCCCCAAAGCTTTGACATATCTCTTCCCACAGTTCTTTAGCAGATTCAGCATACATAAATCCATCAACTATATCCTTAGAAAGTGAATTTAAGAACCAGGAGATTACCGTACAATCGACTTTCCTCCATTTCTCAAAATCTGGATCTCCTGCTTTTGGTGATTGGATCGAGCCATCAATGAATCCTATCTTCGTCTTTGCACCGAGTGCGATCATCATAGATCTCTTCCAAGCTTGGAAATTAGATCCTGTGGGAGGATGCGAGATGAGTTGCATGCCGGGATGATCAGATCCATGGAGGAACAATGGATATTCGTCGCGATTGTCTGTACTGGCACTCGTCCTCGTGTTCAGTAATGGCCAAGCCTCATTGAAATTGCGATTCGCCATGAATAATCTCTTCGCATATCAGCAAGCTCGACCTGCTCGTGATACCATGAAGAAATAGAAGACAGAGAATGAACCAAAAATATCTGAAATCTATTATTTCCCCAAAATCTGCTTTTTACATTCGAAGGTGCGGCTATTTAAAGTTCCTTGCTCAAAATAGTTGAGCTTACAGATACTTAACAAAACGACACCGTTTTGTTAACTAAAAAATGCAAAACAAAGAAAACAAAAAACGCTACTGCCATCTAAAACATGAAAAATAGAAAAATAAAAAAGCAAGATCACATATTCATCAGGATTGACATGATAATTTATTGGAGAGACAGGGTAGAAAGGCACAAATCACAATGGTGTTTTTTTTATTCATGGGTTGTTTAATTATCCCATGTTTTGAAGTTGTAAGAGTCAAATTATACACAAAAATAGGAAAAAAATTAATTTAATTGGGTCAACAAATAACTATGATATTATTTTAAGATATACGGAAAATATAACCAAACAATAGTTTATAGCAACTTCTACTTAATGTATATTTATCATTAATTAAACAAAACCTAATTAAATTTTTCTTTATGAAAATTTGCTATGAAATAAAAGTTAATTATATAAGTAATATCGACAAATATTTTTTGCCCAAAATCATGTCAAATATGAAAAAGTAAAATTTATTCAGTATACTTTATTCTCTCAGTTCTCGTAAGTTCGATCTGCCTTCACCGGTTTTTCACAATTCGATTACAAATAGTTAAACCCACATCTATATGAGTGCGTGTTGAGCCACTGGTTAAAAAATTTGTTAAGGATATTGCCCTCTCGATAGAATCAAACTTATCTTCCTTTCTTAATAAGGAAATGTTATTAGTTAATGTCATAGACATTAAAGAACTCATCGAAGTCAGTAAAGCGGGTTTTTAAGTCTGATGGGATAGATGCCCGTATGCCTCCATATCGATGAAATTTTGTCTGTATTTCACATGGGCGGAAATAAAATTCACGAGCTTGTGACTTTTCATGGAAAATGGAGAAACACATGCACAGAAAAAATGGTGCAATTTAGACCATTTAAGTCTCCCATAATCAAGCGAATGGTGTGCTTGAACGTATGATTTTTTTTTATTTTATTTTATTTTTTTTTCTTTTTTGTACTGGCCGAATTTAATGGATATTAGTATCTCTCTCTCTCACTCACAGACACTAAATTCATGGCCGCAGCTTCATGTTGGGCTAGCCCCGTCCTTTCTCTCAAACCATCTCTTAGCCTCTATCATTTTAGTTGATTAGCTGGTCACTAATCAGATCAATTTGGAAATAGGATTCACTATACTTTATTGTCTATCTTTTGGATACAGAGATGATAAAATTGGAACGATATAGAGAAGATTAGCATAGCATGGCTCCTGCGCAAGGTTAACACGCATAAATCGTGAAATAATAGAGCAGCAGCCATAGTGGTCTCAATTTGTAGCAACGTGATCTTTTTATTTGGCAAGCGAAGGAATTGGATAGTCATAGTTCGTTTTTAGTTTAAATAAAAATAAAAAACATACTTATAAAGTGAAATCATAAACTTTTATTTACATTATAATTTAAGTATAAAATAATGTATATTTTTTTTAAAAAATATAATTGTATAACCATTAAACAGCCTAATAGAAGACCTCTTGCCTAAATACAAAAAATAATTTGTTTGTTTTATGTTCGAGATTGCATAATGAATTATAAATCGGGAATACTATTCCAGCGACTACTCTTAACTACTAAGACCAAAACTAAAGCCATCTTTCAAAATTTACTAATTACTAGCACAATTTCTGCAGTGAACTGGAGAAAGTATGAAACTGAAAAACACCAACATCATATCGGAAAACTATATCACTAAGGCTGGAGTTCTTTTCTTCACCCACTCAACATGGGATCGATTTCAAATGTTACATTTTATTTATAAGTACAAAAATATTCGTTTGGCTATGTAGAATTTTCCTTGTTCCTTTTGTTTTTCTATCCTTCTTGTGACAACCATAGTTGTATTCCTCTATTTGAAAACTGGTGTTCCCATTAGCAAGAACCACACAAAAACCTGCCAAGATATACATTCCGGAGAAAAATTCAAAATTAGTCCCACATATATAGGGGGGTGACAATTTTGATCCCGACGGAATGCACAAAATATGAATAGTCCCACAGCTTTTAAAAAATGATCAAAAGTAGGACTTTTTCGCCGGATTTACTATTTCCGGCCCGGAACGCCACGTGGCGCACACGTGGCTTAGTTTTGAATTTTTTCCTAGATAGGGAAAAATTCAAAACTAGTCCCACAAGTATAGAGGAGTGACATTTTTGGTCCCGATGGAATGCAGAAAATTCAAAACTAGTCCCACAACTTGTAAAAAAATATGAACACGTCGGATGCCACGTGGCGTTCCGGGCCGAAAATAGTAAATCCGGCGAAAAAGTCCTACTTTTGATCATTTTTTAAAAGTTGTGGGACTATTCATATTTTCTGCATTCTATCGGGACCAAAATTGTCACCCCCCTAACCTGTGGGACTAATTTTGAAATTTTTCCATACATTCCGATAACTGACTCATCATTTTCCGTTACAGAGAGAACCACTCACTATCATCAGCACAACAAATATTCACACTCTTGCAGACGAGAAAAAACATCCTGACAGCTCGGCCGTTCATCTGGTTCAGCCCAGCAATCTATCCACAGGAAAAAAAGAAAATTGAAATAAATAAATAAATAAAATAAAATCATCCCATCGAACAAATAACTACTATTCTAGAAGACATGCCTGCTATCAGCTTGCCCCAAGGACCTTCCGGAATTTCCAGCTTCTACCCATCATTGCCGACATTATAAACAACCTGCTTATCAGTTATCACACACACACAAAAAAAAAAGTAGACATTTTAGATTCTTATGGTTTTATCTGATTAGATTTATGTTTTCTTATTCTGATTAGAAGGGCTTTGTACCTGAACTGATGGTACGCCCTCCCATGGCCTGCTGAGCGTGCAAAGCTCCCACATGATAACGCCAAGGCTGAAAATATCACACTTCTTAGTGAAGGGCTCGTTTCGGATGAGTTCAGGTGCCATCCATTCAGGTGTTCCTGCTGAAGAAGTGTCTTTCATGGGCTGGGTCGTAAGTACCCGTGAAAGCCCGAAATCGCATATCTTGACTGTCCAGTGCTTGTTCACTAGGCAATTCGCGCTCTTCAGATCACGGTGCGCGATTTTCATCCGATGGATGCTCATTAGTCCCTTACAGTTATTATTATCCCAAACAATGAAATTTAGAGCAGTTAAGGCTAATAACTTAAGTAGAGCCTGAAACTGGAAAAGGAAAAACATATTTTGGAATGAGTGACTTAGAGCATCTCCAATGGTTTGTGCATTGTCCCATTCCATTGCCACATGGCCCCAAAAATCCAATATGGCATGTAAAATTTCTAGAAGTATTTCTACATGTAGAAAGACTTCTAGACATCTTCTAACTATATTATATTATTTATTTTATATATCTTTCTCCACCAACTAATTATTATCTTACACATGTCAATTTATTCTACAATTGGCATTCACCATTGGAGACAAACTATTTTTATTTCTTTTTTTCACAACATACATATGAAAATAGACATTGTGCCATTGAAAATGCTCTTAAAGTTTCTTTTTCGGAGGAGATGACTTTATCTAAGAGCCCTTCATCAGAACAAACTTTCAAAAAAAAAATTCCGACAGTGGAATTTATTTCGGAAAAAAGTTATATTGCGAGGTAATCTTTATCTTTTGCTTTTATGTTAAATCTGGCCAGTGGAATTTATTCCAACATAATAATAATGTGATGAGTGGTGCTAGTCTCGGTTTTAGATATCGATTAATGTAACTGTCAGTGATTAAATCAATTGATGGACATTATATCTTAAACACGGGGAGATAAATCGAGTAATTATTATTGGAATCCCAAATGTAATTTGGGATAGGTAAAGGGAGTGCGATAATATTATTGTGGTGGACTTTAATATTATTAATATATTAATTATGGGGTTGTTTCACAATATTAATATATTAGAAACTCTAAACATGTTCTCCTAAGGATCCCTACTGTAACTCTATATATACATCATACTGATAAAATAATTTAATCAACTTCTTTCATTTCCGAAACTAGTACCACTCAGTTCATTAATCATTAAGCCGAATAATTATCCACCTGCAGGGTTTGACATAATATTCCTTCTGTTGGGATCTATGAGGATCTCGTTATGCACAAATCACGAATTAAATAAATATACATAAACTTATGCGCAGCGGATCTAAAAGTTTGATGTAGTAAACTTACGGCTTAAAATTTTAGATCTGGTTGGCACGAACGGTTAACCGCAAATCACGTCTATTCACCAATATCATATATCAAGTCTAAAGATAACTCAATATAATGAAAACATAATTGGATATTATCAGTATTTATCACGATATCTCTTTAAGAAAAGAATAGTAAATCTTGCTAGCAAATTCATCGCAAATGCAGTATCAGGCCTGATGCAGTTGACGTGAGAAAAGTTCAGCATAATTAAAATCCCGCCAAAAATTTCATTTTTACTTTTTTTTTGGGTAAATTTTTTTAAAAGTGGCGGTCAATTTTTTGAAACTCAAACTAAAAAAATCAATTTAATTAATGTACAAAATCATTTTGGTCAAATATTGCGGCTATTACCTTTATTAGTTGTATCATCCACGTGTCTCGCGAAGACCTTCTCTGCCAGACTCTTCGTGAAAGGATCGGCCAAGAAGGAACGTGATCCCAGGGGCTTCGTGATTAAAATTGCCCTCGGCATAGTTTAAAATGGCGACGCATCGAGGCGAGGCGACCGAGGCGAGGGCCATATCGCCTCGCCACTGCCTGAGGCGACCCTGTTCGCGAGGCGCTCGCTTCAGGTCGCCTCGGCTCGCCTTTTTGAGTGGCGAGAGGCGCCTGTGAGGCGCGCCTCGGCGCCTTTCAGAGAAATCAAAGAAAAGCCTGCCAGTTTTATGAAAGAGAATAAATTAAAACAAATCGAGCACTTCCTTCACTTCATCTCCCTGACCCACAAAGCAAAAAAAAGCAAAAAAAACTTCAGTGAAAAATCCCTAAATGGCTTCTCCCCAAACTAGAACTAGGGTTTCTGCGAAAGAACTCCCTAGGCTTCTCAGAATTGAAAATTGCAGAAACCCACGGTCGACCAATCCCATTTCCGGCATCCTCAGAACTCCGGCCACCATCTCGCCGCCGCCAAGACGGTCGGTGATGCGTGTCTTTTCCGTTCTTGTCCTTCTCCCTTTTCTCTGTTTTCTCGTTCCCGTTTCTGCCACTAATCTTTTTCTTCTTTCTTTATTTTTTTACTTTATTTATGTTTACTAGTATTGTCAGCAGTCAAGGGTGATAGGGTGTACCATCTTTTCTTTCATTTTCTTTTACTTTATATTTTTTGTTTACCTTATTGCTAGTATTCACATTTAAGCTCTAAATGCTTTTAGTAATTACAACAAAATTTAATTTATGTTATTTTTTTTAGGATATTTAAGATTATTTTTGGCACTTAAACTTAAGTATATGATATTACTATATATATAATATATATTTTTAAGCTTTGATGGCTTGTGTTCGCGAGGCCTCGCCATGGCGAATCGCCTCGCCTCGTGGCGAGGCTATGGGTGAATCGCCTCGCCTCGCCATTCGCCATTTAAAACTATGGCCCTCGGAAATGGAAAAGAGGCTTCGGGGATGATCCTCGATGGCGAGCCGCTATACAGGATGAGATTCGTGCCTTGGAGAATAATATAGAACCGGATGGTTGATCAACTAAGACGTGTAACACATACGTATAACCCTTAGCAGTCAACACTATGTCTAAGTTCCTTTTCCAATCATTGTAGTTAGGACTAGTAAGTTAATTTTCTTTTAGGATGACAAATAACGGATTGAACGACATGATGAATAAAACCTGAGAATCATGAAAATATTTTATAGATTAAACATTTTAATTAACCTCGTTTACAATGATCAGTACAAAACGAACTCTTCCTCTCTGGGATCCTGTTCAATACATAAATGTACTAGTGCAACTAATCAGTCTTGAAAAATCTTACACAATTGACACTACAACTATTCGGATGAGGTGTCCCCAGAGATCCAAATGAGTCGACAAATCACGACCCGAAGGCCGAGATCCGCCGACCCCAGCCCTGCGACGACCAGCCGACTGCCGACGGACGATCGCCGCACCACCCGGAGCCGCCGCAGCCGACCCGCGACACTGACGACTACCCGACCTGATCGCAACACCACACGACCCGACGATGCGACATCGCCTACACCAGATGACTAAGAGGGTTTTTGGTGCAAAGGGGAATGGAGCTGAAGATGTGTTAGGGTTAGTTCATCCCGACTTATGTGGCCCTATGTTGATTCAAGCGAGAGGTGATCAACGACATTAACAGTCCGAGCAAATATGGTTCTGTCCGAGTTTGGCCATCCCGATCAGCTAGTTTGTCTTCTGATGCAATCTTGGTGACCTCAACGTCTCCTCTTCCTACAATATCTCGGATAAGAGTGTCGCCGTCCACCGCCACATGCGCCCAGGAGGACGCATGGAATCATGCAAAAATTCATCTTTTGAGAACACGACGTATGTTTGCACGTCTACAAGAAGTGACCGGTTTGGACGACGAGACGAGACATCTTGGGTGGTGGTAACGGATTAAATGAGTTACCATCGTTTTGGGAGTCTTAGAATCTTTTTTTTTTCTCGAAACGATAAAGATATTATAACTCCAAAACGCACAAATGTGCAAGGGTACAACCAATAGTTGAATGAAATAACCATCAGCTGAATAAAATGGGAGGTCAGGACAGACGCCTGCCTAGAATCCCGACACTAGCAACGCTAGAAACGAAAAAAGACTCAATACTACACAAGCAACAACTAAAACACACACAACTAGAAACAAAAGATCCCAACAGGATAATTCTCAAGTGTGGGATCCCAACGGGATAATAAATCCACACTCGAGATCACAGGGGCCAATGGCCCAAACCAAAGACACTAAAAACAATCAACAAGCTAACACACAAACTAAAAACACTCTAAAAACAACTACTCAAACACAACCCTCCCTTTGCAGAGATATCAGAGAATTGCCGGGAAACAAGTCGACTCCGAGGTGAGATCCAAAGGTCAGGAATCACGCCCGCCACTGCCTAATGCCTAGCTAAGACAAAGACCCAAGCCTCGAGAACAAACCAAAGAACCGACCTGTACTCCAACCACAAGAGACCACAGACACCCCACCAAACGACGTCAAAATGCAGCCGCTTCAGCCGAGCCCGATCGAAAAGCACACCCCAACACACCGGAAAGAAAGAAGGAACTTGCCAGTCACAGACAAAAGAAAACCGAGGAAAGAGCAGCATAAGAGGGTACTCACCCCCGATCGAGACTGGCACCCGCATACCAATCGTCGAGCACGAAGCCCGAGACCTACCATCGCCATTCCGCCGAATAAACAGCACAGTGCAGACCGACCAAGCCGACGTCGAGATCGTCTTCCTCTGATTCCTCTGATTCCGGCGATAAGAGATGCCCCGACCAAGTCGACGCCGACGCCGACAAGGGTGACTGAAGCCTCCTCCTCCATGGACAAGTGCTTCACTCCGCCAAGCCCCAGCCCCTCGAATCGCCGGCGGGTCGCGCGCAGAAAAAGGGATCTGACGAACCCTAGGTGAACCGAAGACGGAGGCCGAAACGAGAGCTCTGAAGCTTGACTATGGAAGAGCAGCGGAATGCGTCCACCGACGACCCTGGATTAAATATATTCTTATGAGCTTATCCATAAAATTTGTTAGGATTCACAAATCCCAACTATCTCACTAAATTAAAAAATCTCAAAATCTATATCTATATCTATATCTATATATATATAAAAAGGTTGTTGTTAAAATACCTTTTTAGAAATTTTTTACCAATAAAAAAAAACTTTGACAATCTAAATATAGAAACCATATTTACTGCATTTATAATACACGAAATTTTAAAAAAGTCATACTTCAATTCAAAAATTTGTTTATTAGAGATATTATTAGGATTGTGGATAAGTCACAATTGGATCCATAATTATCATTACATGATTAATCCAAAAATTAATTGATTAGAGATATTATAGGGATATGTGGATAGTCACAATTGGATCCATAATTATTATTAGAGATATTATTGGGATTGTGGATAAATCACAATTGGATCCATAATTATCATTACATGATTAATTCAAAAATTAATTGATTAGGGATATGTGGATAAGTCACAATTGGATCGATAATTATTATTACATAATTATGCGAATCTTTAGTTCAAAAACGGTTGTTTGGT